CAAAGAGGCAACATTTATTTATTTATTATTTATATTTAATATATTTGTTTAGTTTCTTTTAAGTAATATGACATAAATAATAATAATGAAATAAAACAGCAATAAAAGGAATCTAGGAACAAACAAAAATTGCCTTAGAATAATTTTTAGAATAACTTTTGAACTTGAACATTTAAAATCTATCTCTACATCTTCTTTCAGGCCCTTTCTTGGTGAATTGTGTTAATATCTTCTGTTTAAACACATCCTCAGGACAGCCTTCCAGAAAGGCTGGGAAACATGACTCTCTTGCTTGAGGCACACAGAGAAGTATGCAGTCGTGTGGTTGGTTGGAACCCTCAAATCCCTCTTCCTAGTTAATTTTTAACCTTGCTCGCCTCTTCTAAATTTTATATATGCTGCTTATGTTTTAGTATTTCATTTATATAGTACCTAGAGTCCCTCTGTGAGGGAGATGGACAGATCTTAAAAATGATAAATAAACAAATAGTGTTTGTTCTATTTTTATGATATGCTAAACTGCACTGGCCATTAGTCCTGGTTAAGCACCACAGGGATAAAGCACTCAGCACACAATAATTAAGTGAATATTGTCGTTCCACTATCCCATATCCCTTTTTAACATTGGAGAAGGTTCAACATGACATTGACCCCTATTTCAATTCACCAGTTGGACAGCCCTTCCTACTGTTTTTGGCCATGACAGATGGAGACAATCTGCTGCAATGCATGGATATTGTTCCCTCAACATGTATCTGCTCCCATGACAACCAACCCATTTATTTACATCACTGATCACAGCACTAAAAAATTGGCCATCAACAGACACATAGACACACACAACATCTATATATTGAGCAAAAGAGACATTCAACAAGCCAAAAAGGAATGAAAAGACCAAAACACCTTCCTACCAGCAATCAACACTCAGATGGGCATAGATTTAACACCAAGATTAACATCAGACCAACAATCAAGAAGTAGAGAAGAGTTAGAAATAATACACATTCTTTAAAAAAAATGGATAGTCTGGCAAATTGTGTATGGAATCTGCTAATTATCTCTCACACCAACTTCAACACCACCCCTCCCCCAATAAAAGAACAAATAAATAAAATCCCAAGCAAATTCAGTTTTGGCTCCTATCATATCAGCCTGATTTAACTTTACTGAAAACCAACTATTATGTGCTGCTAGCTGCAGAGACAGAACAGATAAAAAATGAATCCTTTTCACTAATGT